CGTCAAACTGATACTCTTAATGCTGCCAGAACTACAATACGTCTATTGGAGAGTCTTGTAAGACTAGCACAAGGTACATGTACATGTATTACAATATAAATTTATTATTGATTTTCTTTTTGGTTTATCAGCTCATGCTAAACTGATGCTTCATCCTCAAGTCAGTATACAAGATGCTGTAGTAGCCATTAGTATTATTGAGAGTTCAATGCAGGTAAATTGTGTTAGTATTGTGATGCACAAAATAGTTTTATTTAATGATAATGAATGTGTAATTATCATACATGCATCTAGGCTTCTACTATCAGTGCTGATGGTAATGCTCTTCATTCTTGTTTTCCTGATAATGTAACTGAGGAATATAATACTCAAGGTATTGACACAGTCACTCTCTTTACTAGTACAATCCTTTCTCCCACTCTCTCTTCGTCTCCCCTCAATTTATCACATCTCAATGATGACCTGCCTCATATTGCTACCCCTGCAACTGCACCTGTCACTTCTCCTTCTCTGTTGAATGTAGGACCAGATGAACTCACCAATCTTGACTTGAGCTTTGATACTTAAATTAAATTTTATTACTTTTGATAAGTGAAGTTTGTCTCTTTATCTTTTGTCAACAACATCCAATATAACTTTTTATTAGAAAACTAGCAATAGATCTGGCCAGTGTATATTATCAGGCAACTTATGCAACAGATTGAGGTATAGGAACTAGAGTCTATAATAATGATACGAGTATGTTTTTATGTGTATTGTGTGGTGGCATAGTCATGGCATTGAACTTGTCAAATTAGATCTAGCAGGGTTTCCCATAAAGCATGCTAAGTAAGCTTTGTCAGCTGGCAAGCATTTGGAGCAAATTTAAAAATTCATAAAAAAACAAACTTTGTTTGGAACCAATTCATACTTTCTACACAACATAACTACATGTATATAGACTATATTAAGAAATTTTTTTTAATTAGAGAATTTTCACTTGGCTATTTTGGGCAAAATTTGGCTGAAATCTCTGTACTCTAGACTAGTACAGGGACTTTGGCCTAATTTTTGAGCAGTTTTAAAAAATCAAAAATATTTCAAAGTTGATTGAAATCAGTTAAAACACTTTACGCAACATAAGTACTGGTACATGTATATCTATCAGAAAAAAATGATTAAAATGGAGAATTTTTACTGAGCCATTTTTTGATGAAATTTGGCTGAAATCACTGTACTAAAAGTACAGGGACTTTGGCTCAATTTTTGAGCAACTTTAAAAATCAACAAAAAATTCAAAATTTACCGGAATCATTCTGGCAAACTTTCTACACATAAATACCCGGTACATGCATATATATCAAAAAAATTTTAAATGAAGAATTCTCATTTTGCCTCTTTAGTTAAATTTGGCCGAAATCCCTGTACTATCCTTGTAAATCCCCACATGTACTGTAATATTTTAAAAAGTACAGGGACAATGGCCCATTTTTTAGCAACTCTAAAAATTTTATTAAAAATCTGAATTTGATTGGAATCAGATCAAACTTTCTACACAGCATAAGTAGATGCATTTATATTAGAAAAATCATATCTGTTCCTAATGGCACGCCTCAGAAAAGATTATCAAAATGGAATTTTTGCCCTTATTATTTTTTTGGCGTCAAATTCTCAGTAAATCTACTATAGTTCTGGGTCTTTGGTCCAATTTTTGAGCAACTTGACAATCCATTGACAAGAAGCTGCATGAGCTAGTACAAAAAATCTTGTGGGAAACTACATGGAAACTAGATAGACTATTCTAGATATGTCAAAGGTGAAATTGTAGTAGGACTGTGGCAACCAGAATGATAACTTTGTCTATTGCATTAGGTGTAGTGAGCTCTCCTTTGTCTGTCTTGATGCTTTAAATTGCATTTAACACAATATGGCAGCTCTAAGAGCTCTGCTATATACATTGTACAGTGCAGGTAAGGGAGAGAGAGAGAGGAAGTGGGTTGGAAGTGCATGTACGTACCTGTAAGATAAAGGGAGCAGGAAGATTGACTTGTGTATTTGTAGCATGCAAAGAACTGTTTCTGAAGCTTTCTTTTTTTTGAATTAAGGAAATTTTGTAAGCCCAAGTGAGAAGTGATGAGGCTTCATATTGTAAAACTTGTAATTTTAAAAAGTAATTGCAAAATCAACAATAAAAATTATAAGCATCAAAAAATAACTTTTTAGAATCAAAAATAATAATGATAATAAATAATGAATAATAATAATAATAATAATAGTAAAAGAATAATAACAATAATGAAAGGAGAGGAGAGAAAAGAAGAAGGGAAAGGAATCGAAGAAGAGAAGGAAAAGCAAAATTATAATAATCTTTTATAATTGTCTAATAGTGTCTGTGCTAGTCTATCAGCTCTTCTTGTATTCTCTTGTTTAATTATTTCTAGAAACAAACCAAAATCTTCTCCATCCTCTCTAATGGATCCTTTAACTAAACTAAGCAGCTCATCCATTCTTTGGTTAGCAGTTAATCCACATCTTTCATCAAGAACTTTAGTTTTCTCTCGTTCATTTATCATCCTCTTCTCAAGAAGCTTATCTACTAATGTATTTAGATCAAGCCTTTCCTTTATCATTCCAGTACATTCTGTCATTACTCTATGAGCAATATCAGATCTAAATGTACCTATTAATGATACAAATTCAGTGATTAGTGTGTTAATATCAACCATACCTTCTTCAGTCTCTCTCCTGGTTTGACTGATACTAGCAGTAGAGGAGCTTGAGCTACTAGCACTGTCTACTGCACAAAGCAATGAGTTACAGATCAATTAATGTTAACTTACTCATTGATGAAGGTGATGAAGGTGGAGGCCATCGGTCAATATAGATTGTCATTGAAGGATCTATTCCAGTTAATTTAATAGGACAATGAAGTGGATCCTTAGCAATACCAGGTTTAGCATACACTGACATACTACAGGTTGCATATGAGGGAGTTAATGGAAACTGGTCAACTCTTGATTGAAATAACTTTATATATACAAAAAAGGAATGCTTTAGGTAAAACTAGCTCCTGGAACTTGTGCTTACTTTCATTGGATTCCTGATAGGATTAACAGTCCATCCTACCTGATGTCCAGTGTGTAGAGTCAATTCAAGAGTTCCATTTGGTTGAATAAACTTAAATGAGTCAACAACATCATCATATTCAATACTTGATTTGTGCTTGCTTTCTAAATACTACATGAACATAAATCAAAATAAATAATCAAAATTTGTATGCGTTGGCATATACTTTACCCTTTTAAGAACTTCCAAATCTCTAACAACAGAATACATAGCTTTCCAACAACCAACTTCTTTCTTATCATAGTACATCATTCCAGAATACAATGTATCAGAAGGTGCTACAAAAGTATGCATGTACATGAATTTGTAATATTTTTATACATAAAATATACCATTATTGTCTGACTGTGAAGTGGAATGATAAGTAGAAGATTGCAGTGATTCATCATCATTCCTTGCTGGACACTGTTCACTGGATACAGTAGCTGTAGGTCCATCAGAATCACTTACATGTAGTACATGATCTAACTGTTGTACTGTTGGTTCATCAGTAGTATGGGATTCTACCTCACGGACTAACTGAGAAGGATCATCATTAATTGAGTCTATAAGGTAAAAACATAACATGCAGTATACATGATACAGTTCCATACCATGAGGTGGTGTAGTACTTGTTGATGGAGTGGCTCCTCCTCCACTACTATTCTCTCCTGCTCCATTACTGCTATCATTAGGTGTGTCTCCATTAGTCTCCTCCTCACTATCATTATTTGTTCCTATACATCATACAAACACATCAACAATAAATTATTAATACAAACACTATTGTATACCTTGAGTTACTGTATCATTCTCTGATCCATTCCCACCTCCATTAGGTGTGTCTCCATTAGCAACATGTCCAATACCAAAAGCACAAAATTCGTCACGTTCAATAGAACCATATCTGTACCCTACACTAAAAGATCCTCCTTCAACTATACTGAACTGGTAAGCATTGGGAGACTTCAGTGGGGCTCTCACAAACTTGAGGCAACCAGTCTGACTAGTGTTCCTTAGATCCACACAATGTTGTAGCTCTATTACCAGTGGTTTTAATAGTGCCTTAGATACTGATATTGCATATACTGCACTCACTAGCACAGTACCTTTGGGTACCTTGAAATTACCACCAGCTAGTGCAGTAACAGCTACTTCAGTATCCTTGGACACTGCTCCTTGAGGACACTCTAATCTGAATCCATATTTCTCCCACTGGAGTGAGTCAGACCTGTCTCCTTGTAGGATAAAGAGCTTCTGTCCAGCTATAATGACACTAGAGTCTAGTGAATCTGAAACAATACAGACACATCATATCTAAAACCAGTCTAGTACACACACAATCATTCACATGTGTACATGTACTGTACATGAATAATTTACCCATTGAAGGGATCAGGTAATTAAATTGTAGTCCAATGGAACTAGTCTCTTTGATAGGTTGCTTGAGGACCCTCTCTTGTCTTTCCTTCACTAGTTTGGCTATGTACAACTCCTTTTCTTTAAGGTCTATAAATTAATAGAATATTAATAATTATTATTGATTGATGATGATACACTAACCAGTAATGATCTGTTTCTCATTCTGTGATTGTTCCTCTACTTGTGATGTCAGTTTGGCTATAACTTTGTCTTTCTCCGAAATGAGATTTTGATTGTCGTCTACACAATAAACATATTCTCTCATCTAATACATGCTGTGTGTATAGTTAACTAACCAATAATGATCTGTTTCTCCTTGAGATATTGTTCCTCCTTCTCTTCCAATAGTTCAGCAACTTTGAGTTTAAGTTTCTCATAATCTTCTACAATAATAGAATATTCTCTCATCTAATATTATGTACTGATGATACACTAACCAGTAATAATCTGTTTCTTCTCCTCTACTTGTGTCTTCTCTTCCAATATTTCAGCAACTTTAACTTTAAGCTTTTCTATATCATTAATAAAGATATACAAAATAAAATTTTTTGCTTATACAAATTTGCACTGCATGTACAGTAGCCCATAAATACATGTACTATGATTATTGCTAACAATACCATATATGGTAAGCAGAGCTCACTCTACATCAATCTTATTATTTCTAATGCATGGACAATTTGACCTATATTGAGTACAGGATACTATTTCCATATTCAACATTCTCTAATCCATTAGTATTATAATTTAAACAATCTACACATAAATAACAGTACAACACAATAGTACTTAATTCAACAGTTGATTTATCCTTTTCTGCTTGCTCAAGGAGAGTGGTAGCATCATGAAGTTGCTGACTAAGTGTTGCCTTTTCTTGAAGAAACTGTTGCTGCTCTTTGTCTCGATCTTGCTGTATCTGCTCCTTCTCTTTTATTTCTCTTTGAAGCTGTCCCTCATAGAATTCTCTCTCTCTTTCTTGTAGGTGTCCTCTGAGTAATTGCACCACTTTGCTTAATCCTATAAATTCTCCCAATCACTCAGTATCCTTCTTCTTAGTTGATCTTGATACTGGTCCAGAGGTATTACACTAGTAAACCAATCATTATCACTAGTATATCCTATACAGTAACAAAGTAGTGGAGAATAAGAAATACACAAATTAATTACAGTTAGGTATTATGGTAACCTTATTATTGATGGATTGATGTTTAATCATTGTATGTGTGACCTCTGTCAGTTTACACAGTTAGCCACATGAACATATTATTGTATATAAATACACTGATAATAATATTTCATTCACTCTAGCTCCTATTAATATCAATGTTTCTATATCTGCAGTCATTATATTTCACTATTGTGCATAGCACGAATGAATTGGTAATTATTAGTATCATAGGTATACATCAAATGCTCTCATTAAATATTCATCATAAGAATTACTTACTTTATTGTAATATTATCATTACTAATTATCATTACATATTCAATACACATTGTATCTACTACAGTCTACATGTACTTACTGAGTTCAATAACTGCTGTATCACTTATTGTTGTGTCATAGTTTCTTTTTCCTCCAAACTCAATTATCCAGTTAGTAGTTGGGGTCACACTCCACACTGAGAGAGAATGCCAGTATCTGTTAGTGACATTGTTTGGTAGATTAATCTATAAAATTAAAATGATAATAATTAATTTGTGTATGACCCATTAATTCATTTGATATCTGGTTAATAAACACAATAACTAACTCACAGTTTTATAGTCTGCACAGTATGTTTTATGTGACACAAAGATGACATAATAAAATTAATAATACACAATATATTAATAGACAAGTATACACAACTGAGTGTGTTATTATATCATGTGAGTCCTCAATTAAGAACTTACTAAGTATCTGCATGTACACACATACACATACTAATGACACACTAACACACATACATGTACATCTATACATGCATACACATATAAAGGTACATGTAAAGCATGCATAATTGCTCACACACATACACACACATGTACATGTTACATGTACACATGATGTACGTGTTAGTACACACATACACATATTAAAACATATGCACACATACACACAAA